GTCAAAAGTCAAGCAAAAATTGGACTGATATTGGGCACTATTTCAAGCACAATTTTTTGAGACGTAAATTGTACCTATAGCTCGTTCGATATTCGCGCACTGAGGTGAGTATGCTGGGCGTAGAACCTACGCCCAGCATACTCACTGAACGAAGCCTATAACTCCGAAGTTATTCGAGCACTGTTTTTTCTTTTTGGGCACCGTTTGGCACTATTTGGGAACTATTTTTTGAAGTATGAATTATGTTTGAAGCGTATACAGATTCTCCGGACGGAGGTGAGTATGCTGGGCGAAACCTTCGTCCAGCATACTCATCGAACTATGGCTATAACTTCGCAAGTACAAGAGCACTATTTTTTTCCTTTGGGCACTATTTAGCACTATTTCAGAACAGTTTTTTGACATTCATGAAATATCAGGATTCCATGGTGAGTATGCTGGACGAAGGGACACAATATTTCATCATATAAAGTGTACCTACATAGTTGTCTGGGAAAACGAGGAACCCGTTCGCTAGAGGTTTTATTGTCCTGTCTCAAGTCTAGTGGGAGTTAGACTGGAGTCCTAACCAATTTTCTATTACATCGCCCATCGCCCGTAACAAGCGGAACCCTCCATGCTACTCTAAAAGATTAGGATCTATAAAATGCAAGAAGAAGTTACATAGACACCCTCGGTGTACCTAGTTCATTATCGCTATCTCTAATGCCTTGTTCGCACTACGCCAGTAATTTTGGTCGAGTAGCGAGTATTTAGTAGTTCTCTCTCGCTTTGATTTCGGAACAGTGCGAAACAGAACAACTAAATACTTTCTATAACTAAAGTTCTTCAACTTTAGTTATCGTCATTAGCTACCTTAATCACTGAGCGATAACCCTTAGTACCTATGTAAAGTAACACAGCATGGAATCAGATAGCAACTACTTAGATAGGTGCTATCTCTGAATCTGTAACTTATGCCTTGTTCGGACTACGCTAGTAATTTAGTCAAGTAGCGAGTATTTAGTAGTTCTCTCTCGCTTTGATCGGGACAGTGCGAAACAGAACAATTAAATACTTGCTACTCGACTAAATTACTAGCGTAGTCCGAACAAGGCATAAGTTACGGATTCAGAGATAGCACCTACCTAAGTAGTTGGTATCTGATTCCATGCTGTCTTACTTTACGTACGTAGGGTTATCGCTCAGTGATTAAGGTAGCTAATGACGATAACTAAAATTGAAGAACTTTAACTAGACTACTATTAGTTCGGTACAAATTACTTACAAAGGGTAGGTAACTAACCTAGCAATTAATTCACATTGCATGACTTTCGTTATGCAAGCTCTTTTGTGATTCTACAAGTTTTTTTAATGTTCTGATTTCGTGCAGCCATCTGTAAAAAGTTAGTTCTTGTAAATTGTGGTTAGCAACCAATTTTCGTAATGAAATAAAGCACGGACGATGGAACTTCTACCATGAGTTAGGTAAATAATGTACTATTTACTTGCCGTACCTAATAAACATAATATTGTTCATTAAAAAGGTCTGTAGTAAAAACGAGACCAGTGAATTGCGTTTTAATAAAGAGATAACTACGTAGGTACCTATGTAGTTACAAACCCGACTGTAGGTTTAGGAGGTAGAGGGTTCGTACCGTGCTTGTTACTATTTAAAAATCCATTTCCACCCATGATCTCTTTTAAACTTTCTACATAAGTAGATATTATGATCTAATTTCCTATAACGCAAAACCAAATCAAAACGTCGGACAGGTTAGATTAGAAACTCTAATTACTTTAATAGTGTTGCGCAAAACTGCGATTAAAATAACTTTACAATCGATAAAATCCATTACATTTTCTATTGCTGTAAATATCATTATAACGGGTGAAATTGTAAACACAATCTAGTCACTACACTATATGTGCCATCAAAGCTTTTAATCCTATTACAACCTCGTACAACTACCTACACTGCCTGTTAACAAATTTATTGTTGGTGTACCTATCCATTTAGGCTAGGTAAGCTTTATTTTCTTGCAATTTAGTTCAGTAGAACCGCGCTTAATGTCGCGTATAATGTGTATTTTCTGTTATATCACGGTCAAAATATTTTGTCACAGTGTAATTTAGTGACTTGCCGTGGCCACACGACAAAGCGGTAAATAGAATATTTTTTACAGAAAAATTTAGTCAGTTCGTCAATCACTTCGAGCTCTGTAATTTGAACTGTGATTAGCGTTATGTGTGGTGTCAGTGTATAATTACAAAAAGTGTCAAACTTACAACTGAAGGTTGGTGAATAAAATAAATTAGATGCTATTTAGTTTAGGTATTAACTTATCCATTTGTTACAATCGCATTCTCTAGTTAAGTAAGTAAATTCACATAATTAAACTGTAATGAACAAAATCATATTGTTACCAATTTAAATTAAAGCAAACTAGCGCAGTAGTTATCTAGCATCGTTGTAATAACAATGTTCGGAACAGTTCTGCCCTGAATAGTTTTACGGTTGATACTAACCTAGTATTTAAAATGCACATGTACAATGCAGTGGTTGCCGACGTCATCTACTTTGCAGTAATATTTTTGCCACTAATGCGCCTGCACGGTTCGTAAAGGAACGCCAGGATACACAAAAATGCAGTGTAATACGTGTTGCTTTCGTGATTGCGATAGAAATTCTTTGTTCAGTGAACTTATTAGTTTAGTGTTAATTAATTTATACCCTTTGATTACTTAGTGAAGAAATAATAATAATATTATGGTCAGTATGAGTTTAGTGAACATTTAATAAAACAAAATAAATGAAAATAAATAATAAAAATTGTCAATGAAATCTGAAACTAGTTTACGAATATTAATCGATTGATTAGAATTGATTGCTCTAGTAGACACAATACGCGGTGTCATGTTTTAATTGTCAACAATGTCAAAAATAGTGCTCGGTCGGTGTTTTGAAACATTACGTCAGTAACATTTATTATAAACAAAGTTTCTTTGTTTTTAAAACTTAACCTTATTTGTTGCGTATTGTTTTGTGTTAGTTATGAATCGATAGGTATCATATTACTCATTAATCATGGGCTACTTGATTTCGTTTTTTAAATACATGTTGGAATATTTTAAGGTTAGTCGGCTACTACATTATTACATTAAAATATTCACAGATTTTGTATTATTAGAGTGTAAAGTAGTAATTTATTAGTTAAATTACAGTCTAATGGGTGTTGCGTGATTACTAGTAGTGGATACTGGCTGTATTTTACCATCCCTAATATTTTATGAAACTTTGTGCGACAGTCGTTTGTTTGAAAATAACTTTTTTTGTTTTGTAGACTGTGCTTGAATCTGGGAGTGTGGGGAACGCGTCGTCGTCTGATGAAGAACTGGAGCAGTGGGAGCAAATATTCATGATGAGAGATGAAAATGGAAATAGTTATAATGACAAGTAAGACTTCTAGCTTAACTTAATTAGTTTCATTAAATACTCACTGGTTCGTTTAACTGTGAACTAGGCTAGATTTTTTAAACATATTATTTTTATAAAATAACTCTTATTTTAATTTGTAATACACATTCAATTCAAGTTACATAAAGTGGTAATTAAATAAATAAAGTACATCATTATCACTATATTAATTAATAATAACATGAAAACAATGTTTTATTATTTTAATAACACAGATAACTCAGGAAATTGTATTCTTGATAACAATGAGTACTGAAGAAATAAATGATAAATGCAATAAGCAAACATGGTATAATAAAAACATCGAGTAATTAATTTATATTCATTAGATTAAGATAAACTGTATATTTTTCCTGTTAAATTTTCCTCTATTGACTTTTAACACATTAGTTGATACTCCTGCATGGTTTCAGTCTCTGCTCAGGTCCTATTAACCTATTGTATGATTGGCCCTCTACAAAATGAACCCTATAAGACACTTGATCAATTTATTGTAGCTTGAAGTTTATGTATGGAGCTGCTGAAGACTTAATGGGTTACCGGGGCTCGGGCTCGAAGAGCAGGGGTGGCCTTCTCGATAAATGAAATACTATCTAACACAAAAGAAATATTTAATTTGAACCAGTATAATCTCATTCAAATATACAAACTCATACATATACAAATCACACTGCTTTATACGTAATAACAAATTAAAACATTAATTAAGTTAATTTTATCTTAGTGGTACTACGCTGCATATCTTTACATCATTTCTGTTTCAGAAGAAAAAAAAGAAGTATATGGTGTCGTCCCTCATGCATCCCAGTGTCAATAGTTATAGTTTTAATAGTTTTGGTAGTGTTGGTACCACTGCTCGACCAACCTAACATAGTGCAGATGAACGCTACCATAGCCGCTGTTTCTTTACATTGCTCAGATGAGTGTAGGTAAGTGAACCAGTTCTGCTCTATGATATTTATGTTTTAGTTAGGTTTCCGCTTGTGCTCTTTCATAACTTAGGCACCTTTTTGAATAATTGAAGAAAAGTCCTTTAAAATCCGTTCTGTAGTTTTATGAGTTTGTCATACATCAGTAGGGGATTTTATTTTATGACATGTAAAGAAGTATTTTTTTTTTTTTTTTACATAAAAACGTTGTCCCACATTAGGATTTTCTCCTGTGTCGTGGGTGCGTTTACAAACATACAAGTTCACATACACAATGACACCCAGACCTGAAACAACAATTTGTGGATCACACAAAGTGTTGTTCCGTGCGGGAATCGAACCCGCGACACTTAGCACGGCAGCCGGTTGCCCAGCCACCGCACCAACCGTGCAGTCTGAAATGTCAAATATGATTAAGTCATAATATGACTTTGTTTGTAATAACGGTAGGAGTAATACTTCATTATATCCATTTATGACCTTGTTAAGATAGTACATAAAGCAAATAGTTTGATTTTCTGAGTTTTTTATAATTTGGCCTCCATTTAAAAAGGAATAAAAAAAATACTAAGTACTTAATGTGATTTACTCTACATCAAGAAAGTAAATTCATTTCAAGCAATTTATTACAATACTAAACTAAACGTATATTCAAACAAATTTCAACCTTAACCCACAGAGTTACAAATCAATATTGATAAATTTTACATACCTTTCCTAATGTCACTTAATTATATTTTTTCCAACATAATGATAGAGTGAACAAGAGTGACTTTTAAGTATTGTGATTAATGGTGTTCTTTTTTTTCAGATTATCATTAGTTGAAAGTATACCGGAGGGTCATATGTACCCTCCAAATGTAACGCATTTACCTACGAAAAATGTGTGGTTAGACTTAATAGATGAAGCTCAAACGAAGATAGAAATAGCATCATTTTATTGGTCTCTTAGATATAATGAAGAATATCCTTATAACTCCTCTATAGAGGTTCGTAATATACATTCCATATTTGAAAAATAAAGAGATAAGTCTTGACCTTTTTGGAGTTGTTTTAATCTTTTTTTTTTTGTTTCTAGGGTGAGCAAGTGTTCCAAGCTTTATATGCTGCCGGTTCAAAGAGAAATATAGATTTAAAAATTGCTCAAAATTGGCCTAGTAAACAGTTTCCTAATGTAGATACAGAATATTTAGTTAAGAAGAAAGCTGCACAGGTATGTAACATAAAATATTAATAATAGTAAAGTTAATTAAATTAAATGCTATGAAATTACCATTTGTTCTCAGGTGCGCAGTTTGAACTTTTCAAAATTACTTGGGAATGGTATATTACACACCAAGTTCTGGATCATAGATAGAAAACACTTTTATATTGGCAGTGCCAACATGGACTGGAGGGCGCTGACACAGGTAAGCATTAAAACAGTAATTTTAATATCTTTCCAAGCTATTAGAATTTCACTAGTAAAGTAAGTTACCTTACCTAATATAAGTTCCTGGAGAAGCAATCCCCTAAAAGCCGACATCGCATTTGTCTCAACCCCTTATGTGTTACGAGTGTCCACCGATTGCTAACTGATCCGTTTGATGATCAAAAATCAATCATATGTATTAAAAATGTAATAAATATTCTTCTTATTTTTTATATTCAAACATAAAATGTTTGGTTCAGGTCAAGGAGCTGGGTATAGTCGCGTTCAATTGTTCCTGTCTAGCAGACGACCTGGGGAAAGTCTTTGATGTAAGTATAAGTAAACATATGTAGTCGTGTAGGAACCTACATACAGACGTGTATAATATTTATGAATTTGTAAATGAAAGCAAAAATATTCCGATAAGCGAAAAAAAGTAGAAGGTGCTTCGGTCGCTACCCTTCTTGTAGTCGGGGTAACAAATTCTTAAACGTCTGACATTCCTGACAAAGAAAAATGAATGAATACCGTGTTAGGATTAAAATTAATTACCGTTTTGATATTTATCAGCTATTTTCGGCGGATAAATATAACAGTTCTGCTTAACTGAGCTCGCTGTACTCACGAAGCGAGAGGTTTTAATTAGCGCGACCCGCCAACGTGGCGTGTTAATATTTCATAGCTTAATATTTGTACCTTTGCTGTTTAAATATTAAAATTTGTCGTGGATTCAGTGTTAGTTGTACTTAATGCTCGATTACAGACAAAAGCATCTGGCTTTTTGAGAGATGTTAATAGGGTAGTTTCCTTAATTTTATTTTAGTTTCCGTCTGGTAAATTAATTTAAAACTCTAGACACGTATTTTTTCTTTTCTAACAAAATTAAATATTTTCGACGATAAATGTGACACGCTGTGACGTCACACGATATTTTGTCACAGCGTCACACGTCAAAGTCAAAGTCAAAGCATTTATTTCAATTAAACCATAGTTTGGTACTTTTGAAACGTCAACAAATACAAAATAAATTATAGTCTGTCAGTCAATCCGTCAGTGAAATTAGGTGAAGCTAGGTGCTCATTCCAAAACGTGGATTCGAATGGAGAAGAACGAGCAAGAAACTCCATTCGTTACTCTTTTAAAAAAGTATGTTCTACAATGTCACACGTCATACGTAGCCAATTAAGTCCTCCAGGGCTCCGTATCGGCATCAGCCGCAAAGAATATGTTTCGGGTTACCGGGGCTCCGGCTCGAAGGGCAGTAGTAGGAACGGGGTGGTTTTTACTCAGTAAGAGTCTGACACTCCTTCCCGCCTCACCCAGGCGTGATTTTCGATGAGTTTCCCCCCTTAAAAAAAGGAAGCGCGTGCAAAACGAGACGCGCTGTTCGCTCACAAGAGAAGACCCATAGTTCAGCAGTGGATTGTACTTAACGAGTTATTGATGTGAACAATCACCTGTTTTGAAAGATATATCGAAAGCCAATAAATATATCGCACACAATATCACATAAATAGATACATACGGAAGTAAATAATGCCATTATTATCGTGAGTGACCGTGAAAGTGCATTATAACCCTCAGTTACAGTGTCACTGCCATGTGCGGTGACAGACCTTGTGTTGGTCGGCCGCCATATATTTAGTGCACCTAATGCATGCTCCATTATTAAAATATACCTTCGTTTACCTTGTTTAATGCGATCGATATTACTTCTAATTAATTTATTTTTAGCTATATGTTGTTATTAAGTTTCCTTTTTCTGCATTTGGTGGCTGATAATATAATCTGCTATTTGATGGTAGGTAGGTACCGTATTGTTAACTTGAAGGGCAAAAGTTTGGTACCTTTCTATTGTTGATCTGGCAGTCTACGTCCCTTTATATATTTCGGTCAACATTAATATGATTTACTAAACTAAAAAGTGTTGTATATAAGATTTCACATCAATATAAGATCCGCCAATAATATCATTTTGATTCTATACACAAAAAGTCAAAGTTATTTTTAGTTAGGTACTTATATCGTACTTAGATAATTGAGTAAAGTCAAAGTTCATCATTTATACACAATAGTATGTACCTAAATATACAATAACAAAGTGCAGATATGATACAAAATGACATCATAAGTACCTATTGGCAATAGGTATTATAATTATAAACAGTACTATAGGTAAACAGCAATAGGGTATTGCTGTTTATAGTACTGATATTCCAATGTTATATGATTATGATGAGATACAAATTGACAAAGTACACATTACAAATTGTAGGTACAAAAGAAAACTGTACCGGGTTATATTTTTACTTAGTAAAGGTCAAAAATATCTTCATAAACTATCAAAATCAGTTTCCCTTTGAACAAACTAGTAATACAGACAGGGCTATCATGCCAAGTTGCAAGCAAGTGATTGTCAAAGTTGTCCGCTAAATGCCGGCTGGTACGGGCTAGCACGCGCAGTTACCGTCACAACTTTGTGTTAACACGTCAAACGACGAACAATTAATGGACGGGCTGAAGTTTGTAAGGTCGTGGGAAGACCGACTTTTACTTAACAATTAAGATGGCTCGACATTGTTGCTTTATCTGGTTAAACTTTAAAGAACTTGTGTTGAACGATTTTGTTTAGCTTACAACTTAACTTACGAAGTTGTTTGCGTTCAGATTTGTTTGTTAACGGTTTAATTTTTGGGTACCATAAAATATTTATGTATTGTGGGATAAATATAGCTACCTTTTATTCCTTTAAATATCGATATTTACATATTTATACATACCTACCTTTATCAAACCTATTTGTCTAGTCTATACAACCAAAATCATTGTTAAATAGAGATCTTAGTCTTAATTTCTTTTGTAATGAATTCCTGGATTGATCACTACACGATTATTGATGAACAGCTGAACTGATGAAGATGGCATAAGCCCTCTTTACTCCTTCACTTGAGCCACTAGCAAAACTGCTTACCAAGACAGTGGCTCCTGTAGGACGAGGTTTTTTTTCCAATCACTGCAGCTATCAAATACTGAACAGCTAATGGTGTGACTCTAGCTAATTTCAATTGTAGGAGAGCCCGGCACGAACGGGCCGGCTCAACCGGAGTGATACCAAAGCCTTACAGAAAACCGACGTGAAACAACGCTTGTGTTGTGTTTCGTAGTGTGAGTTATGTTACCGGAGCCCCAATCTCCCCTATCCTGAATCCCAACAATCCTCAAAATCATAGTCCCCAAAAGGCCATAACGCACTTGAAACGCCTCCTGTGTTCCAGGGCGACGCCGATTGCTCGTTTACCTGCTTATCCCATAAAAAATCCCTATTGAACGAAAAACAAGAGGTACACAGCAGCGCCATTAGTCAGCAAAAATACGAACCATTACCATCAACTTTCCATAATTCTTTTTATTGCCTGTTTAGGTAATTTTTTAATTACTTTTATTCTTCTAGGTATACTGGAGCCTTGGTACACCAGACGCAGTGGTGCCCGACAGCTGGCCAGCAGAGCTCAACACAGACATCAATATGGAACATCCCATCAACATATCAGACGCTCAACATAGTTACGGCGCCTATATCACTGTAAGTACTTTGTTTTACTTTTGAGTTGTTACAGAAACTGGATGCAACTGTACCTCTAGAAGTGCACGGCGACCTTCGACTGCACGGTTGGTGCGGTGGCTGGGCAACCGGCTGCCGTGCAACGTGTCGCGGGTTCGATTCCCGCACGGAACAACACTTTGTGTGATCCACAAATTGTTGTTTCGGGTCTGGGTGTCATATTGTGTATGTGAACTTGTATGTTTTTAAACGCACCCACGACACAGGAAAAAATCCTAGTGTGGGGCAACGTCTTTATAAAAAAAAAAAAAAGTCTGCTTCTACTTGATTCAGTATGTTAAAGAGTAAAAAGTAATTAGATTTAGCGCCGGTTTCACCACCTCCATATAAGTACCTGATAAACTTATGTGACAGATAGTTCATATAAATTACATTCTTAATTCGTATTTATCTGATAAATAACGGCTATCCAGATATTGTGAAACAGGCCATAAATAAGTTTAGAGTTAATTAATACATATAGAGAAAAAGCTCCTGCACAAATGATGCCCAAATCATCTTTCAGATCCATAAAATTTAAGGTATCTTGTATCAACCCTGGTATGATCTATCTGTATGTTAAATGATGTAATGCGTTAAAGGGTGAAAGATAAAATCATTCCGTCCATCAATCGCTTCATATTTAGAATTACTCACATTTAAAATTTTAAAGACAATTTTTCTTTGTGTTCTCATATCTTCATCACACCAGCCAGACGTTATGAACAATAATATTTAATTATATGTACACCTATTCTAAGAATTGACGCTCCAATGCTACTAATTAATACATTTGTTTGTAAATAAACATACATAACATAACATCACGCCTTTTATCCCCGAAGGGGTAGGCAGAGGTGCACACAGAAGTAACACCCACTTTTCACAATTTATGTTTGTTTGTAAATAAATTATAATACTAAAGTTAATTATGGCGTTGCGTGATATCAACCGTCAGCAAAATACAGTATTGTTTATGATTTCTACTTAATTTACTAATACCTAACCAATGAAACGTTACACTACTGGAATATCATAATACGTTTGAAAATATGTGATATTAGAGACATTACTACATACTTATTATAAAGATTTATATTCTACAACTAGCTGTGCCCGCGACTTTGTTCGCGTAGAATAGTGACTATGAGCAGCGTTTTTTTTTTAAATATATACTTATTTTTATTTTAGATTTGGATCATAATCACAGTCATTTTGGGTAGCTAAAAAACCTACTTTACTGTAATGCTTCTCTATATACAATATTAGACGTATGGCCATCGGGGGTGAAAGCATACAGGCTGCTGGGATTGCTAACACGGGACAGAGCCACATACAATTGACCGTGCGAAAAACAGCTGATACTTAGATCTATACCCACAACTTTTAGAGTCTGACCTTGAGCTTTATTAATTGTCATGGCGAAACATAGGCTCACTGGAAACTGAATTCGTTTAAAATTAAACGGGAAATTTTTTGGAATGAGAGGAATCTGAGGAATAAAACCACTATCACCTTTTCCGCACCCTGTTAAATATATATATATTTATAAGCCATTTCTGAGATTAGCGTGAACAGACAAACAGACAAACAGACAAAAAAAAAGTTAGTTACATTTTTGGGTTCGACATCGACATAACAATAGCCCCTGCTATTTTTTTTATTTTTATTTTCAATGTACAGACAGCACTTTTCTACAATTTTATTATATGTATAGATACCTACGTTAGGTATGTACCGTACCTAACATTTAATGTCGCTATAAACGAAAGTTACGTATAAGCCATAAATAAACGTATCAGCGTTTCTCGTTTCATGTCATAATAATCCTGACAGCGCCATTAAGGACGAGCCGACGCCTATCACCAATAAAAGTGTATGTTGTAAAAGATCGTAATATTTTATCTGTCGTTAAAACTAGACGGAATTGCGTTTTATCGTTTTAAATTGGCAATATGGCGAGTGCTGTGGTCATTCCATTTAAGGCTTTTATGGCCACCATCCGGTGACCTTGCTAGGTGGTTATGGAGAAAAGCACTGCTTCCTCTTGTATTCAGGTCGCAATGGATTGCGGGGCTTGGCAAATGGATCTTTTGTTTATACTTACAACGATGATCGAGGCTACCATCACGTATACTTGCGAAAAATATTTAAAAGGTCATCGGAATACATAAATAACTGACTTGTCTGTTATCTAAATAGACTTTGTTTAGCTTACACTATATAATATCTTTAGAAACATGCAAAAAAATATAAAATTACAATAAGTTAACACGTTACTACCGACCAGTGCGGTCGTCTACTAATAACCCTTATGAATAAAAACTTATTTTGTCAATAAATTAACATCGTAATAATTTTAATTATAAAAATAACCAGTTGAAAGTCACATTGAAGTATGGCAACCAAGGAGTAACCTTGGTCGAGGCTGACTCAACGCCAACGTATCGGTGGAAATCAGACCTTTAGTTTGTGTACCTAGACTACCTAGGTTACTAGGTACACATCGAGATGACCTATCCAGGTCGACACTAGGAATTGTCTAATGCATTAAATGTCAAACGCCAAGTCATGTAAACATGTGTTTACATGACTTGGCGTTTGACATTTAAAGTTATGATCACTTGATTGTATATATGTTGTACGTTATTAGCAACATAACAAATTCTAATTATAACTTCATAATGAAATAGCTAATTTTTAAATTAATTAATTCTTATCTAACTCGTTATCATAGTAACACATTAGCCGTTCCCCATTTATATTGGAAACACCATTGATTACAAAATAAGCAACGACATATAAGCTATACGCGAGTTATCGAGTACACGTTAAAATGTGTAGCATAGCAGTTACCTTAGCATTTTTATATCTATGTGGAAATTTATTGTCACTTGTGTGTGTAATAGCATTGTGGACAACCTGGTGCATCTTACCGAAGTGGCGGACCCTTCATAACTACGTTATTGTGCAACACACCACTTTAGGAACATTGAACCTAATGTCTCTGGCTGTCCTTTACCCAGACGACCTTAATATATTAATTTTGAGCTATGATATCTTCTTCCACGCGTCCATGAGTTGGTCGTTAGCCTCCTCACTCATTGCCTACTTCAAGCTAGTACTAGTTCACTCTGTAAAAATAAGCAATGAGAAGGCAATCATCACCGTGTTCGCTTTTGGATTGACCATAGTGTCTGAAACTATTTCTGGAGTAACTACGCAAATAGTTTACGATTTAAAACCGCGGGAAGCTGCTCTTGTAGGACTTTTTCCCTTGTATTTAATATTGATGATTAAAACATTCTCGTTTATAAGTGTGATTGTATCAGTTATGTCATGTTGTAAACGAAGCATGTCTGGAAGGAAATTTGGTCATGTGGTAGCGTTGGTAGGGGTTGCTTTAATATCTGATATTGGAACTATTGTATGGGTGTTTCTATTGCTATTCCTGGATTACAATATAATGGACGCCTGGTTCTACAACAGGTTGATTCCACAAGCACTGTTTGTTCTCTTTAATCCTTCGACTCGTGCACATTGGAAGAGGCTCTATAGTCGACGGAGGCGTATGAACCAAGTCGTGTAATCATTTCTCAAATAAAGTACCTACAAAATAGATATTGTAAAGTGTTATAAAATGTTTTTAGTAATACCACAACATATAAATTTTTAGAACTACCTAGTATATCGGTATAATGTGCGCTTTCACATCGAGCAATGTTTAACTGTTTACTCAAGACTAGCTGTTAACAATTAAGCAATCAATGATACAGATAATGTAGAAACACACCACAGTTTACGAATCGCTTCGACGTACCAAATTATGTATGTATTAAAATTTTATTATTCCGAGCTGTAAGTCCAAAGGTGTGTATTACAGTGGCGAAGAACGAACACAATTTGAGTTCCTTAAGCCGGGTAAGTCCAACAGTATTGGAATGCGTGCTGTGTAATTAGTGTGACGACTTAACGGCGCGTGTGTATAATAGGGCTGCCAATGGTCGATGTTTATCACGGTAGGCGTGTCGGAGCGTATTGTTTGGCACTGGTATATGGATCGATAGTCGGTACCGGCTTTTTAAGGGTTCCGTGTCAGGTGCACTCTGTAATTGTATGGACCAGGATTTTTATTTACAGACAAGGCAATGGCCTGACCTACAAGATCTAAGATATCTAACAGTCGATGACATGATTGTGAATCAAACTATTTACTCTATTTAGGTACTGTATCTTTCTTATTATTTAGGTACCTATTTCTCTATATTTGTTGTGCCTTAAACAAATTGCGCTGCAATTTGTTTAAGGCTTGGGGCTTCATTTTGTTCACCTCATCGTTGTCGTTGTGGTGAAGATGTCAACAGCCTTGGACACCACGGCTTGTCGTGTAGCCGTAGTGCGGGTCGTTTTGCTCGACACGCGAGTATTAATGACATAATTCGTCGAGCTCTTGTCTCCATTGGCGTGCCAGCTACTTTAGAACCTAATGGCTTGGTACGCAACGATGGCAAGAGACCCGACGGTATGTCATTATTCCCTTGGAAGATGGGTAGGCCTTTAGTATGGGACGCCACTTGCGTTGATACTCTGGCGCCATCCCATCTTCCAAACTCAACGTGTCGAGCCGGTGCTGCCGCTGCTGCTGCCGAGAACCTCAAACGGCGAAAGTATGATAGCCTGATTGGCAATTATGCTTTCGAACCGTTTGGGGTTGAAACTTTAGGGCCGTGGGGCCCAAGTGCACATCTTCTTTACAAAGATATTGTAAAGAGGATGGTTGACACTTCAGGTGATCGAAGGGCTGGCTTCTACCTTGGACAAAGGTTAAGCATTGCCATTCAACGTGGTAATGCTGCCAGTCTTTTGGGCACCCTACCTCACGATAATGATGAGGAAAATTTTTTTTTTGATGCCTTATTATAGCTTATTTATTTATTATTACCTTTTTTTTAAGGTGTAAATATTTTAGTTCATAGTTATTTATATTTTAAGTTGTATATATTTTCATTTAGTTATAGTTAATATTAATTGTATATATATTTCTCTATCATAATCAATTATCTATACGTATCAGCCACAAGACATTCACTGCTGATCGCAATGACTTCCCGATTGGCTAGTGTGGAAGCGGCCTGCACCCAGCCAATTGTTAAATTCAATATACTCATGTATAATTTACTATTTTGTTGCAGAGTTCCCCACCTCCACTGAGTCCTGTTGGCCGTACTAACGATGGCCACGCTATCGTCTCCATCATAGAGTCGGCTGAAGAGTTCGTATACATCTCAGTAATGGATTACGAGCCTATGTGTGTATTCACGCACAAGCTTACGTAAGTATGACTATATAGTACACCCAATATACACCTTTATTCAGTTTGAGTTTGACAAAATGTCAAAACTATTAGTATGTCAAAGTCGGCGGTATTTCCGAACCGATACGACCTTCAAACCTTCAAGAAAAGAGCGTACTCCTTTTTAAAAGGCCGGCAACGCACTTGTGACTCCTCTGGTGTTGCGGGTGTCCATGGGCGGCGCTGATCGCTTACCATCAGGTGATCCGTCTGATCGTTTGCCTCCTATTCCATAAATAAAAAATAAAAAAGTACCCTCAATAAGGCAGCATCTATGCATCAAGTGTTTGACGAATGTATCCTAGAGCCGGTATCTTATCCTATTATGTATTTCAGTCTAATTCAATTAGAAACAGGGATGACGTGGTGATTAAACATGGCAATGCCAAGTTATGTAGAAAAAATAAAGTACCTTTTTCTTTTAAGTTTCTGGCCCGTCATTGACGATGCGATCCGAAAGGCGGCTCTCGAGAACAAAGTAAAGGTAAAACTGCTGATCAGCTGGTGGAAGCACTCCGCTCCTTCTGAAGACTACTTCTTGAGGTCACTGACCGACCTGTCGCAAGCGTTTCCGAGAGTCGACATACAAGTGGTGAGTTTCATATTATTGGCTAATTCTGGTTCAAAAACATAAATAATCAGCAATGCACTTGTAAAGTTGTTACTTCTATTTTTGTTCATTGGCGGCGCTTCTCACTTATTATCAGGCGATCTGTTTGCTTGTTTATACCATAAAAATACTAGACCAGTCATGACATACGGAGCTGAGACGTGGACACTAACAGTGTGACTGGTCCATCAATTTAAGGTCGCGCAGCGAGCTATGGAGAGGGCTATGCTCGGAGTATCTCTGAAGGATAGGATCCGTAACGAGGTGATCCGACAGAGAACTAAAGTTACCGATGTAGCCCAAAGGATTAGCAAGCTGAAATAGCAGTGGACCGGTCACATTTGTCGAAGAACCGATGACCGCTGGAGTAGACGTGTTCTAGAGTGGAGACCGCGTCTAGGCAAACGTAGTGTAGGGCGCCCTCCAGCTAGGTGGAGTGACGATATACGTAAAGTGGCTGGTAGTGGTTGGATGCGTAGAGCTGAAGACCGAGCTCAGTGGCGTGCCATTGGAGAGGCTTATGTCCAGCAGTGGACGAAAACAAGCTGTTGATGACTACACAAAAGATTGAAAACTTAACAACTATATACAATGTTATGATTACATGAGTGGATTAGAGGAGGCCCATTATGAGTTCTGCAGTTTAAGAAAAACTAATTTCATAACCAATTTCTATTACAGAAACGCTTCGTAGTCCCTTCAACACCAGAGCAAGACAAGATCCCATACGCTCGCGTCAACCACAACAAATACATGGTGACAGACCGGACAGCTTACATCGGTACTTCTAACTGGTCCGGAGATTACTTCACGACTACTGCGGGCGTCGCCTTCGTGTTCCAAGACCAAGCTGATGGACTATCGCAGAACATGACCAAAGACATAAGGAAAGATCTTCAAGAAGTCTTCGAAAGAGACTGGAACTCTCCATATGCAGTTCCACTCAGGCGATTATAGCGTATAATGTAGACTTTTTTAGTTAAATAAGTTTTTTAAAATGGCATTGTAAGTGTCTTTCAAACTAAGAATGGGATATTTTATTATAACTAGCGCGGTTCATGAAAGAGCAACGTAGACATTTCAATTTTCTTGTATTCTCAGTAATAATCATGTGAGGAGTATAGATTCCTTGTTCTTATTACAACTGATGATAAGTTTGTGTCACATTTACTTCGTATACACATTGTAGACGCTGTTTATCTATTCGAGGATTAACAGATGTGTTCACAGAAGAATTCCAAATTAAAAAGTATCCTGTTCTTAGTTGTTATGATAGCAAACGTCTTATGTCAATATCTTCCTTCTTGTTGAAAGTTTTGCCACGTGTGAGTACTAAGTTTGTGTGTGAATTTGATTCGGTATTACTCGTACTTATAAGGGTTACCGGTATTATTGTTTGTGATATTATTACCTGTGTATTAAGCCAATATTTTATTAGATATTAACTTGTATATTAGGCATTCAAAAAATTTGATTATTAGATTTTTAAATCTGTAAGTTCACTTTGTTATAATCTTTATTCATAGACTTATCAAATTGGTTTTACTTATTTCCAAAATCGTAGTGACCATTTAGAATGGATTAGGTATCTAATACTTAATAATATTATGTAATCAATTGTAAGATTGTGCATCGAGTATTAATAAAATTAATGAATTTTGAACTCTGTATGACTGTGCCTTAGATTGAAGATTGAGTATATGAATTCTTCGCGAGTGTCTAAGTAGATTTTTATATCTTTTTAGATTTACAAATAAATGTAAGATTAGGGGCGGATCTATTTATATAAACATTAGACTACTATTAGCTGAGAAAGTGTAGTTCTTTCTCATTGAATACGTTGAAAGAAAATCTCTAAATCAGACCCAAGAATACATGTAACTTTTATTGCTTTTAATTTAGCACAAAATACGCAAATGTTTATAGTTCCGCCCCTACGTAAGATAGTGTTTGTCTTTTTAAAGTGTAGGTGAAAGTATTGTGAACTCTTTTCAAGTAGTCTTATTTTTTGTTGCTACAATATTTAAATTGTAACTCCATAATAAATAAGTAGACTATGAAAATACATACCGGTGTTTACATAATTATAAATATCGCCAAATAAATGTATTACGATTCAGTTAAGAGTAAACTGTATGTGTAGAAGTATCCTATATTGTATGCAATATAAATAATAATCCCGGTCACGACCCGTTTCCACTGGATTGTACCACTGTTTACCCCTCCACTCACCATGGCATATAAACCGAGGTTATTGATAAAATTAAAATATTTACAAATAATAATGTTTTTTATTTACTTAAATATTATTATTATTAAAAAGCCAGAACCTAATAAAACACTAACACTTTATCATTAGTACGAGTTTCGAACCGACACCGCGTTCGTCTCTCTGATTGGTTGGTTCATTGAAGCCGGCCAATCAGAGCGCCGAACACGTTCTCGTTTCTATTACCTATTTTATTCGTAAGGCTGACCCCACATTTGGCGTGCTCGATCCTCGGGCGTGCGAGCGGCACGGACGCCGCGCGCGCTGGGCGAGCGTCGGGTGTTGCCGCCGTGTGACGTGTGTAAGGCGTGCGCGTGGCGCTCGCCTTGGCGTTTAACCCCCTCCAGACAAGTCAGTCACAATATGGCCAGTGCCGTGTTAGCACACGTCGATACGTTACTGTTCTACAATTACTCACAAAATGGACTCAGACGAGGAAACACTACTGTTAGCTTTGCTACTAAAAAGAAATAAGACACGTAATAAAAAGATCTCTGCTCTCTCTGTCTCTCTCTCTTGCCTCTTGCAAGATACATTATGGTCTTCTTGTTCACAAGAAAGTATATTATTATGTTTTTGGCTTACTCACGTAATAATTTGACGAGGAACTCGACCAGTTTCACTGTTTCAAGCCATGCTAGAGGCTCATATTCGCGTTGCAGCGCGACAGTCGCCGCGTCGCGGGTCGCGAAATGCTGCTGAGTATGAGCCTCTAGCATGGCTTGAAACTGATCGAGTTCCTCGTCAAATTATTACGTGAGTAAGCCGAAAACATAATAATTTATTTAGTATGTCTCACGAAAGTTACAATACAAACACAAGAAAGTGATTACTATATTTTGTATTGCAGACATTTAAGAATAGTGAAAAGCTTTCGATATTAATTTCACTCGGTGCCTCCATTTTGACGCCTGGCAACACACCACTGTCCACCATGCGACTGACCGAGACAGTAGCGGGCGGCGGGGATAGCGGGAAGCGGAAAGGGTAAGAACGCGACTCGAGCGTCTCCAGCACGCCGCGCGCCGGCTGTATGCACGTCACACGGCGGCAACACCCGACGCTACTCGCACGCCAAATGTGGGGTCAGCCTAAAACAAACTCGTACTAAGCCCTCTGGACTTTATACCATAGTAAGAAGTAAATATAGGTATGGTAGTAGTGAATAGGAAATATTCCAAAAGACGTTTCTAATAACTTACGAAGAACGTACGTAACGTAGTAGTAGTAGTAGTTTTTTCTCTTGTTACTCTAGGGTATAGCAATTAGCATCCATAGAATTTTTTTTTAAAACAAAAAGTCTTTTGGAAATATTCTTGACGAGTACCATTCATTTATTATAGAAGGATTAATTTCTTACTCCCTTTACACTATGCTTTCTTGTAATTTTTATTGAAACTCCATAATGGATACGAACTATTGTCGAATGACATTAGTTTTCCAATAATTTATCATATTTGATCCGAAGTACAGTGCACTACCACTACCTCCATCATAAGGATTTAAATGAAACAAACAAACACGTTTAAAGAACTTTAATTAAATACTAACTTTATTTTAAAATCTTAACATCACTGAATATTTAAAAAGCAAATTGACAGTACTCAGTGATGCTTAGAAAAAAATATATTATTTTATAAAAACATGAGAATCCAGAAAGCACTGCATTGACATTGTTGCTGAAAGTCAGTACAAAAATAGAAATTTTAATCAATGCAATTGTTTTCTGACATTTTGTACAGTTAACGTCTCCGTACTTAAATCTAATATAGATGAAAACCATGTCAACAATGTGTCTATAAAATAAATGTAACTAATAACCTTACAAATCAATTAATTCCGAAATTATTATCAAAATAAACTAAAAGTAAATCAACTCCAATCAATTCTGCCATCATATATCATGTTCTAACAATAAACATAACTTGTTAATTTCATGCCCTCTAGTTGTAGAAACAACAGGCCTTAGTTCCAGTTTGTTTTATATTTAAACTAATCGAAACGAGACCGCGTTCAGCGCTATGATTGGCCGGTTCCAATGCACCAACCAATCAGAGCACCAAACGCGGTCTCGTTTCTGTTAGAAATGTTTTAACGTTCATCCGAAAACCTGAAATCTATTCATAACATACAATTTGCAAATACATTTGATATCGCTGCCCATAAATGGAGTAAAGAGCACAACCAGCATACCAAAAATTGTGTACTCACGTTAAATACATTAACATACAGATATACACATTAATACTCCAAAGGACGACGAATTTAACATATAATAAGTAATCAAATAATCATCATACACACACATTCAACTAGCCATCGTCAAAGACATTCCCTACGCGCGGAACAAATATGTATCGTTATGCTTCGAGCAGACAGTTTTGTCTATATCTTCAATGCAAATGAAGTTCAACCGTATTGTGTAAGTATTAGAGTTTATAACCCTACGCATGTGTAGCGCTGTCCTCGACGAAGTCTCGAGCCTCGTCCTGTGTGACGCACTCGACGTGTGACACTTTGTTCCGGAACTTGACTCCGTAGAATTTGTGCGCGTGCTCCAGTAGTTCGGGTCGGAAAGTAGTCGTGATGAACTGAGCCGACGTTGATAGCTCGTGGATCATGTTGGCTATCGCTTTACGGTGCTGTGCGTCTAGCGCCTGGAATTGTAGAAACAAAATCTTAGTGACTTATTTCAATAGAATTTGTATGTAATGCATTGAGGCAATCAATCAGAACTGAATTCTATGTCAATGTCAATACAAGTCAATAAATTGTTGAGATTCATAGTGTGGAGTTTTTGTCAAAAATCGATCTTAATCCACAGATTTTAGATTAAGATAAGTTATTAATGTCGGCCTTCAATTCTAACCATACTATCAACCGCGTACGCTACCACTGATATGGTCAATGAAAAATAAGCCCTATATCAATTCGCATTAAGTTCAAAATATGAAGTTGTTTCAAAGGACCAATGAAATATTTGCACAGATACATTATTTACACTGAATTTTACATAAGTAGTACAATATGGTTGCGCACATATAAAAAATAGAAAAATCCGAGTAACGAACTCACCTGATCGATTTCGTCGAACAAGTAGAAAGGCGCAGGATCACACTTCTGTATAGCGAAGATAAGAGCTAACGCGACGAGTGACTTCTGTCCACCGGACAGTTGGTTCATCTCTCGCATGTCACCCTCTCCGCCAGTGAACGATACTTTGATACCCACACCCGTAAATGGATCTGCCTTTGCACGCTGAAATATGTAAAATAATGGTTAGTCAATATTTACGTTACAGCCAATGATAGACTAGTATTGGAGTATGGGTGTATTCGACATAAGAGGGTCTATCATAATAACGGTAGGTAGGTGGTTTGAAGATCGTATTTTAAAAGATTCAGTTTCATCAATTTCATGTGTATTCCCTTAGTCGGTAGTACCTATAAATAGTTGCGAATTGAGGACTACGGGCAACATTTGTAACATTTATTTGTTTAGCATAGAAATAATACAATTAGGGATTGCAATCCCGCAAAACGGGATCCAGCATTCCCGCGGGATCCCGCACCACTTATTAATGTTGTGGATCCCGCAGCTTTAAAACGCGGATCCGCGGATGGCGCTAATTAAAATTTTTCGCTAAAACGTTCTTGTAGTTTCGCATAAGAAAGCGAATAGTGCAAGTGCGACGTCGACAATAAGCAAACCAATCCACAATACGCCAGACCAGATAATAAGCAAAAGGATTATGAAACAATTTTGAAGAAAGAAATGGCATGTTTCGAGTCCGATGGTATCAGAGGAGAGTACCTGACGCTCGCCTATGAATATATCATGACTGTTCAGCCTACTAACGTTGAAGCTGAGAGAGCGTTTCCGGCATCAGGATATATTTTAGTTCACTTAGAAGCAGGCTTGGAGATAGTACTTATGCCATTTGCTTTTTAAGAGCGTATTTCCAAAAGTCACAGTCGTAATAGTACCTTAAATTTAGTTATTTGGATAAGAGAAAGTTGTGATTTGACAGATTAGAAGTTATTGTTTTTGTTGTTGTTTGATTACTTTTTGTGATTTCTTTAGTCATTATTATGAATAACACAAAATAGTACAAAACTATTGTTAGATATAAGGGTATAATGGTATAATGAAACAAAACTTTGATGCCAAACATTTAAAAGCTAAGATTAGTAAGACTGATTACTAAATTACTTGTACTTAATTTTATAATTTAATTGTTATTTTGTTCTTAAACAAACAATTTTTGTTGCACAATATGAGACATGTTTGATTGCTCGTAATAAAAGTTGATAATTTAAATAAATCTCTGTAGTTTCAATTCGATTTTATAACATAATTTTAAAGATGCGTGATCCCGCGGGATCTTGCGCGGGATTGATCAATCCCGCATATCAATCCCGCGGGATTGAATGTGCTGCGGGATTGCAATCCCTAAATACAATGCGAAAGGGAAGCCCAAATCAACCAATCAATGTCGTATTTAATAGTAAGTGGTGGTAAATTGTGGTTTCAAATGTGACTCATTTTTATTGATTTTTCATGTAATCAAGCATCCTTAGAAATACGTATAAGTCCTTCCGTAAAACGGGGCGAATAAGTTTCTAGAATTGAATAGATGTACAAAATAGATACTAGAGCCATTTTTCAAAATCTATGAATAACAAAATTTGTTACCGATAAGCGTTCTGAGGCCTTAGTACAAGTTTGTTTTATGCTCAAAGTAATCATAACGAGTACGCGTTCGGCGCTCTGATTGGTTGGTTTATTGGCGCCGGCCAATCAGATTGCCAAACGCGTACTCGTTTCGAATACTTTAAACGTAAATGAATCTCGTACTAAGGCCTCCGTTATATTGAAAACGAAAGCAGAAAAGTAACGTATTTGCGATTTATCGTGCGATTTCGACATGTTTTCAATAATGTACTAATAGTAAATAATACCCATGTTTCCATAACGTAGTAACAGGGGATTTTAATTAGGTGGTTATCAACATTACGTGCGGTTTAACAGTAATTTAAAGTCACAATAGACATTGCACAAGTTTAGCTCCGGCCTAATTGTCCATATTATATTTTATTTATATTTAATTTGACACTAATATTACACACATTAACATTAAAATAACACGATAGGGTCAATAAGATGAAAACTTATAAACAACTTATAAGGGTGGCTTTCGGTCCGATAAGAGACTGGCAGAAGTCATTGGAAAGGATAATTTGCTTACCTCAGAACTAGCCTCCTGTCCATCATCAGTATTAACCCTCATGATGAGACTGCCCCTGCCTTGAGGCACCAGTTTCTTGAACACCTCAGTGAAGTTCTTACACACTTGCTTGAACGTGAACTGTATAGCTTCTAACTTTCTATGTTCTAATGTCTCTATGAGCTCACGGATTTTCTCGCCTCTGTAAACAATATACATTTTTTTAAACAATGTTTGCTCACACTAGGATTTCCTGTATCGTGGGTGCGTTTACAAATACATAATTACACGGGAACATTGATTTGTGGATCTCATAACGATTTATTATGTGTGAGAACCGAATTGATGAATGAGTAACCTAATGAACCGAATAAACCTAAATAAAACCCTAACCTCTACGCCAACCGTACAGGCTGATCAGTACTGGCATCATTAACATAACATAACATAACATCACATCACGCCTCTTATCCCCGAAGGGGTCAGGCAGAGGTGCACATTATGCCACTGTACAATGTAACACCCACTTTTCACTATTTAAGTTATGAATCCCATGTAATAGGGGGTGAGCCTATTGCCATATACCGGGCACAATTCCAGACTCCGTTCTACTACTGAGATTTTTTTTAAAACACAGTAATAGTTTGCCTGACCCGGGAATCGAACCCGAGACCCCTTGCCCGGCAGTCGCACTTGCGACCACTCGGCCAACGAGGCATTCATTAACTATTATTTATTATTTGGTTGATTGATCACAAGTTCTAGTCTCGCAAGAAGCCTCAATACGATGTGCGGATCGGACTATTGTATTGTCATTTTACTCTATAAGTCAGGTGACATAGATACGCCATACAAAAAACGTAAATAATAGGAATTAAAGTTATTCTTAGGTACAGATTAAATCAGTTCTATTTTATAGTGTGTTAGGAGTTCAAGTGCAAACATTGGATGAAATAATATAACAAAACTAAGGTAATGGTCTCTAATGGCTATATTAGCTGTCGGTAAGTACTGATACGAGTAATTGTTTGAGAAGTTCTACGCAGAGAAAGTATTCAGACAGATGTTAGTATTTGTACAGTGCATATTATGGGCATATTACACTGCATTAAAATGTAATAAAATCGCAAGTATAAAAGTCAATACGTGAGTAATTTTCCACATGAATTTATTTTAGTTTTGCATACACACAGCTTGATAACACATTCAGTGTATTGTTTGTTGTTGTTTAACGACTACATAAGTTCTACTTTCCATTTCAAGTTAACGGCTTTTGACAAGTTTTTGTGAACGATTTTTCGAGAGCAGGCGTTGGAACCTAATAGTCAATTAACAGAGTAGCCTCGAACCACCAATCTAAATAAAACTGTGTCAAGATTATAGGCAATTAACAATGGGGTGAAGTTTAACAACAGGTGTAGAACAATGATGATATATATATAGGAGATCGCATTGTTTCACGTACAGACGAGTCGCAATCGGCGCGGAATTATAAAATGTACATTTACTTATTATTACTAGTCTGCAAAGTATCAAACGCCAACTTGGTAGAGGATAGAGGCTTGTGGAGTGTACTAGGGAGTATTGTGAATTTTTCCCATAGTAAATTCGTTCCAGAGGATGCGAACCTTTCCATCACTGAATTGGGGAAAAAATATGGTTATCATGTGGAAACGCACTTGGCGATTACCGAAGATGGATACATCTTGAATTTTCATAGAATACCCATGCGGAATGGAAAAGCTGGGGCTGCGGTGTTCCTAATGCATGGCATACTGGAAAGTTCAGACACGTGGATGTTACTGGGACCGAACAAGGCGCTCGCGTACTTATTAGCAGATCACGGTTTTGATGTCTGGCTGGGCAACAGCAGAGGAAATAAGTACTGCGAAAAGCACGTCACATTAAACAATACCTTGTCAGAATTCTGGCATTTCTCTTGGGAAGAGATCGCTGTGAAGGATTTGCCTGCTATGATCGACTACATCCTCCAGAAAACTGGGTTGACGAGCTTGTACTACGTGGGACATTCCCAAGGAACTACAACGGGCTACGTGTTGTGTGCTATGAAGCCAGAATACAATGACAAGATCAACATAATGTTCTCGCTGGCCCCGGAGGCGTGGATGGGCCACCTCAGAAGTCCTATAGTGAAAATGTTTTCGCCCGCTCACAATTTACTCGCGTACCTACTTTCGGACTTCAACGCTTATTACGCAGGGGTGGACTTCTTCAATAAAATATCAACATTCGTGTGTACAATCGCGCCAGCAAGATGTGACAATATATTGTTTGCGTTGTCGGGATACGAGAGTAAAATAAACGATACATTTTTATCGGTTATATTAGGTCATTCTCCTTCTGGAACATCGACGTTTCAATTCGCCCACTATGGACAATTGATAGAATCACAGCGGTTCTGTCGGTATGACTTTGGTAAAGAACGTAATTTGATGAAGTACAACCAAAGTAGGCCTCCCGATTACGACTTAAGTAAAGTGACGACGCCAGTGGTGCTATTTTACAGTGACAAAGACTTGTTATCGGACCCAAAAGACGTAAATATATTAAGAAAGCACCTTAAAAATGTACAGGAAAGTATTTTCGTTGAAGATTTTACGCATTTAGACTATGTTTACGCTGAAGAAGCGGCTAATGTTGTCTACAGTAAGATTGTAGGACGGATTATAAGTGACGAAGAGAAGCGCGCTAAGAAGCATAACTACACAATCACGCCGCGACACACTGACACGCCGGCCGAGAGTAGTTCTAGTAGCAGTAGTAGCAGTAATAGTACTGAGGATACTACAACCTAACAACACAACAGTGAATTTGACTAATGGAATAAACAATACCTAATTTATTGTGTTTTTATTAACATTCCGCACATGCATTTCAAGTAGCAATCATAAGAATTGGGTAGCGATAATTGCAGTAGCTCAGAGCTCAGTGGCGTGCCATTGGAGGCCTATGTCCAGCAGTGGACGAGAACCGGCTGTTGATGATGGTGAATCGCAGCAGCAATGATGATAATTACATAACATCGCGCCTTTTATCCCCGAAGGGGTAGGCAGAAGTGCACATTATGGCATTTAATGTCACTATACAATGTAACACCCACTTTTCGTAATTTATTTTATGAGTCCCATATAATAGAGTAAGCCTATTGCCATTTACCGTCGCGGAGAACCTAACGGGTAACCGGGGCTCCGACTCGACGTGCAGGAGAAGGAACGGGGTGGCTTTTAGTCAGTAAGAGTCTGACACTCCCTCCCGCCTCACCCAGGCGGGAGCAGTCATTCGATGATTTTCCCAACTTAAAAAAAAAAATTGCCATTTACCGGGCACAATTCCAGACTTCGTGTTTTAATGAGATTTTTTTTAAAACCAGTAGTACTTTCCCCGACCCGGGAATCGAACCCAAGACCCCTTGCCCGGCAGTCGCACTAGCGGCCACTCGGCCAACGAGGCATTTATGATAATTTATCATGCAAAATAAACATGCCTATACAATTTCAGCTCAATCAGTTAGAGATATCTTGCTTGCTTGCTTGCTTGAAAATCTAGTAGTAAGATTCCACTTCACAAACAAACACATAGGTATGTACCTACATACAAACATAGGTACATTGTAGGTTAAATAAAGCCGCGTAAAAAGTAAACGCAAACTCACCCTATATCCAATTCCTCTTTCCTCTTGTAAAGTTTCTCCTTTTGTTCCGAAAAGCTAATGAACTGGTCCAACGCTTTCTTGTTCACATGGTTGTACTTCTTCAGGTGTTGGTTCGCCTTCTCAAGCTCTTTGAATAACTGCAAATATATGATAAAAACGTTATAAAATTATACCAATCTTGTGGGTGAGTAAGTACTGTTTTCAACCCTTTGGGGTCAAAGCAGTTGGGTCAAGGAGTCAAGTGCATATTCTGTTTTTAAAGAAATTGCCTGTAGGCTAATCGACTTTACATTTGATCAGTCGGCTGGCTATTTCTTCGGACAGAAAATTAGCATTGTCATACAACGTGAATAGGAGTAGCTCTAGCTACTCATAACATCGGCCTTTTAACCAAGATGGGGTAGGCAGAGGTGCACATTACGGCACTTAATGCCACTATATAATGTAACACCCACTTTTCACTATTTATGTTATGAGTCCTATGTAATAGGGAGTGAGCCTATTGCCATAAACTGGGCCCATTTCATGACTCCGTGCTACTACTGATACTTTGCCCGACCCGGGAATCGAACCCGAGACCCAGCAGTCGCACTTGCGACTACTCAGCCAACGAGGCAGTCAACATATTTAACCTACTTCAAGGTTCAACCTACTTAGAGAGAAATCTTCTAAAATCCACATGAGTGAAGCCATAAACACAAAGCTAATCTAAAATATAACTAGCGACCCGCCCCGGCTTCGCACGAGTGCAATACGCATGTATTGTTCATATAAACCTTCCTTAAGAATCACTCTATCTATTTAAAAGACCGTATCAAAATCCGTTGCGTAGTTTTAAAGATCTAAGCGTACATAGGGACAGACGGCGGATAGCGACTTTGTTTTATACTATGTAGTAATTTAGTTATTCCTGTCATACATACAATAGAGCGTAAAATAAACAATAGCTTATATAATTTAGAAATAAATCTAAGAAATTTGTTTCGTGTATACCAACAAGCATTGTTCGAAGGACACGAAATAGCACGATAATAAAATAATCGTACGATTACTTCACAGTTCACACATGGATTTAATCTATACAAATAAATAAAATTGGTGTATCTGTGTGTAATATTAAAATAACCGCTTTTTACTACATGATTAATCCAACGCCAGATAAATTTTAACTCGTCGAGTACCGGTTTTGTAGACACAATTATAGAACAATAGGTTGCGGTCACCGTTGACCGCTTGGTGTTTGACAGTTTAACTGAGTAATAACTTTTAATATTTGACAATTCTTCCATACTAAAAACTGTCAAATGTCAATTTTATTCTACAGTTAAGAATTGACTGATGATTGAAAAAGCCCTTAACCCGTTGATATCCATCCCCTAAATTTGGTCATACAAAAGTATTCTCTAAACATTAGAAATAAGGTCTATAATGTAATGTAATATTAGTGGAAAGCGGTCACCGGTGACCGCTTGGGGATTTATGGGTTGGCTTAAACTATTTTTTTATGGCATAAGCTGGTGAACGAGCAGACGAATCACCTGATGGTAAGCAATCGGCGTCACCCATGGACACCTGGAACACCAGAGGCGTTACAAGTGCGTTACCGGCTTTTTGGGGATTAGGAGTTTGAGGATCGTTGGAGATTCAGGGATTCGGTAACCTCACTCACACGACGAAATACAACGCAAGCGTTGCTTCACGTCGGTTTTCTGTGAGGCCGTGGTATCACTCCGGTCGAGCCGGCCCATTCGTGCCGAAGCACGGCTCCCCACACTTATATATAACTATTAATTTATTCAGTAAAATCTTGCGTACAAAATAAATATTACTCTTACCTGCTTCAGTGACATTTTCTGATACTTGGCGTGTAGCTCGGGTGCGTTGGGCAATGTTCCTAAAGCTGCGATCTTGTCGAGGGATTCCTGTATTTTCTCCTGTAGTAACACTTCTTTAGATGCCATCTTCTCTAAGCCTTTCGCGTCTTCCTCCATTTTGTCTTGAGCTTCTTTTTCCTATTAACGGAAGTTACAAGTGCTATTAAGACTAAATTAAAGATAATATATATTTATTCTACTCGTGTCTTTTATCTTAAAGTCAAGTATTTGAACGACAACTGAGGGCCGATAGAAACGTTACTACATATAGCCCTTTTATTGATTGGTTTTTTGAAGCTGGCCAATGAGAACGAGGAACTTCATAAACAAATCGATCGCGTAAACGAAAACCAACTAAGCCCTCTGAAAACGAAACTAACAGTCGGAGGTGCTGAGGAGTGAATGGATACAACACAACTAACCTCAGCCAGTCTGATTACATAGCTACAACAACTAAAGCACGAACTCTTTTGTACTAAAAACAATTCATTTGCAAAAATCACTCTTAGAGCTAACAAAATAAAGTCCTACCTTATTCCTCCATTTATCGAGTTCCAATTTCAAGGCTTTTTCATTCTTGACGGCGGCCTGGACCTTTCTTTCGACCTCTTCTAGTTCTTTGTTGATCTGTTTGATACGTTTCTCAGTGGCGGCGAGATCTGCCTTGCTGTTTGCCAGTCTGCGCTTGCGGTCTTCTACTGATATTTCTTGTAGAGCCTGTACTAACTCGTCTTTACGTCTGTAACAAATTAAGGATGTATGTGAATATCTGTAATTTTATGTAACATTTATAGTTACATACTGAACTATGTTTTTATTTTTATAGAATTTTAACTAAAGAATGTAAGAATCGTAGTAATTGGCGTTCCTTAGTCTCTGCCTACCCCCATGGGAGACAGACGTGAAGTTATGTATGTATGTATGTTTAACTAAAAATCTCGGGTGAATCCACTCACATGAATATACTGAGAAAAGCTTTACTAGTTTCGTAAGTAAGGCACGGATAGTAGTACTTATTTACTTATATTAGTGTATTAGAAGGGGAGACGTGGGATATATATCATCACGTCTTTTATCTCCGAGGGGGTACGCAGAGGTGTACATTCTAGCACAGAATGCCACTGTACACTACCGGGCACAATTTTAGACTCTGTGCTACTACTGAGAATTATCAAAACCCAGTAATACTTTGCCCAACCCAGGAATCAGCTACTCAGCCAACGTTTATAATCTATAATCTGTTTTCTTACCGAATCAAGTTATTAGTGAGTAAGTTTTCGAGTTTATTCTTAGTGGCTTCCAAGTTCATCCTAGCGCTGAAGGCCTCCTTGTTCTCCTGCGTGAGACGTCGGATCGCATCGTTCAGCTCGTCCACCTTGCCTTGGTCCGCCGTCGATAGTTGCTCCATAAGTTCCTGTTACAAAAAAAAATATTCTTCGTTAAAGTTTTTTCGTTTTTAGCGAAATAACATCGTTTGTAATGTCAATTAATCGGATCAAAGGAAAATACATCGGGTTACCAATGGTTTTATGTATTCTATATATGTATAAGATAGTTATAAAACCGTTCAATAACCTCTTGTCTGCCGGAACGCAGATCAATCAAAGATCGTGTATTTATCCTCTTATCTGTTGAAACACCGGCTCCCGGTATAAACATATTATAGCCGCAACTTTCAACAAACAAGAGGATATCGATGGACAAGAGGATATCGATGGACAAGAGGTTAAAATTTCGAGCATTCTTTTTAAATTAACTGCAACTTATTAATGGAAAATTAAACAATACGGTAGTTGACAACTAGTCAAATTCATTACTTTTATCAAAACGTCAAAAACGATACTGTTCTATGAATTTTGTACGAAATACCATCTTATGACGTCATCATATTTTCGCGTCAAATAGGAAACTTATATCTAAAATAAAATGCTAACATAAATCGAAAATTAAATATATCGGCAAATCAATGAATGAAAGTGTGACTATTTTTCAATATTTAATTGGACTGAAAAATCAATATAATTTATTTTTGACCCAGGAAACTAAAAAATTAACAGAGAAGAGAAAAATCTAAAGTCAAAGTAAAATGTAAAATCCTCATTAATTTAAAATATTCTATTTCTAATTACTCAGTGTACGTAATTTTCGAAACATAAACAAAAATGATAGTTGTAGATATTACCTGGTGCAATTCAGACTCCAGTCCTTCCTTAGTAGCCTGCATAGCTTCCAAACTGGAGCGGCACTGCGCTAGGGACCGCTCCTTAGGACCGCGGAACCTTTCTATCGATGCGAGCTCTTCTTTCATAAGACGAATATCAGCCTTTACTTTGTCAAATATGTCCCTATGAATAGATAAGTCAAAGTCAAAGCATTTATTTCAATTAAACCATTATTTGGTACTTTTGAAACGTCAACAAATACAAAATAAATAATAGTCTGTCAATCAGTCCGTCAGCGAAGCTAGGTGAAGCTAGGTTCTCATTCCAAAATGTAGATTCGAATTGAGAAGAACGAGCAAGAAACTCCATTCGTTACTCTTTTTAAGAAATAGGTTAAGGAGTTCATAATATTCATAATTGAATTTAGTGATTTAATTTAATTGACTCCTAGATTTTAGTTGAAATTAATGTTGTAAGTTTCTAAAGACTATCAGTTTCGGGATTCGCAACCTATCTTTCCATCTTCAGGAAAAATTATTGTAATATACCTAAATGCAATGTGATGAGCCGAAGGTATTCCAATTCCACACAAGAAATATCAAGTATCCAATCAAGTTACTAACAGTGGCGTGCACACCATACATGCAAATAAGCACTGCATACCCTACAAAATCATGGTAAACCTACATAGTCAAATACATAGTGTCACTCATAAACACGACATGAATATTTACTGACATCATACAGAGATATCGTAATTTTATTGATACTTAATTTGAAAAACTAGTCACTAACACCATCTATCGAAAAAATATTGAAGTACTACAACCACTTTCTACTTTCTTTGATATATTGAAGCATTGCGCCAGTGGCGCCGCCACCTCGCTATTGTGTGATGGTGGCGGAAGCATGTACTAATGCGTAGCCGGTACAATTTGCTTGTTTTCTCGTGCTGATGTTGGATTTTTTTTTTGTTACGTTGGTAATTTCTATACAACTGCAAAAGCATTGCTTCTTCGTTATTCGACTAATTTAAGAAGTCAACAAAACGTAGCGTTTGTTGATTGAAAATAGATATATTAATTTTGGTCAACTTATTGTTTACGTTTTTTTTTTGGCCATTTTGTTTGGTTATGTTTTTATGTGCAAGTGAATAAATTGTAATGTAATGAATTATAATTTAAATGAACTGTTAATTTACCGAAAATTATGTAAAATTATAGCTGTGAGCTCTGTGCTGGTGATTTGTGTTGTTCAATAAATTAAATATGAGTGCGTTGTCCTTATTGTCGTTCGAAGAAGAAACGAAAATATTTCCAAAGGCGATTTTGCGTGTATCGTATGTCCGGGCTAGGCGTAACTCAAAAAAGGTAATAATTTTATTATTTTTTTTAATAAACTTTTAATAAAATAATAAATTTTAATAAATTTGCGATTATAGGTAAGTATAGTTTGTTTTGTTAGCACTGGTTGTGTACCAATTTCATTAATGTTTTTAAAATCCAGTCATCTTGATCTCGCTTTGTACGATTTTTCTATGCATTTAACGGTCAGTTTATACTGGTGTTGCATAGCTTGATGTGTAACCATTTGTACTTCGCCGCTCCAAAGTAGGTACCTAGTTAATAGATTTGTAAAATAGATACCTAGGTAGATACCTAGTACCTACATAGATATGTTGATCAACTTTGTACACGGATAGTTTGAAAATAATTATGTACCTAATTTGTTTGTACAAATTAATAAAATACTTACTAAACCTAATTACCTACTCAAAATTATGATGTTTCGGGAGTTTTATTTTCCGAGATTAATGTAGACCAAATTTTTTTTAATCATGTGATACCTTCTGCCTACCCTGCTTCAAATCTCTGTGCACGCCCCTGGTTATTAACGACAGTAAGTTCTCTAAAAGTGACCACAATAAATTACTAATTATTTAAATAATAATTGTGGCACTGTGGCTTGAAGCCGAGTGTAAAATCTGCGTCAGACAACAATTTATTTTATTTATTTGTCTCAGGCATCTTGGCCCAAAGTCAAATATACAATAATACAATACAAATAATTCAGGTTGCAAATACTATATATACATATACATAATATTTAATTTTACTGCTTATTTTACACGAAGTATCGGAGTCGTGTGTCGCTCGATGTCTGGTATCCGTTTGTTGCGTATACAATGTTGCTGGTCTGGTGTTTGACACAGTGAGCGCGGTGTGTAACACTGTTTTTGCGTCGACTCGGGATTCGAACCCAACACCAACGCCGCGGTCCACTGCGCGGCCGCACGCCGCGCGCCACGCACCGCGCTCACTCCGGCGACACGAGCGGCTGTCCGGAATGCTACTCATGAATTGGAGCCTCTAGCATGCCTTGAAACTAGTCAAGTTCTGAGTCAAATAGTTACGTGAACACATAACATAACATATCATCACGCCTTTTGTCCCCGAAGGGGTAGGCAGAAGTGCACATTATGCCACTGTACAATGTAACACCCACTTTTCACTATATATATTATGAGTCCCATGTAATAGGGGGTGAGCCTATTGCCATATACCGGGCACAATTCCAGACTCCGTGCTATTATTGAGAATTTTTTAAAACCCAGCAATACTTTGCCCGAGCCGGGAATCGAACCCGAGACCCCTTGCCCGGCAGTCGCGCTTGCGACCACTCGGCCAACGAGGCAGTGGCAGTTACGTGAATAAGCCGAAAATATAATAATAAACTCACTTAGCCTTCCCCTGTTTAGTTTCAGTTCTCTGCATCTCAGACACGATAGAGTTAATACTGGTCTCAGTTTTATTCAGTTCCTGTCTCAATGTGCTCAGCTCTTGTTCCAGTGTGGTGATCTGTTCCATGAGTTCTGAACGTGTCTTCTGCATTTCTAGACGCGACCGAGACTGGTTGAAGTAACCTCCTGTTAGGGAACCTTTGGAAGATACCTGTGAATAGAAAAAATCGAATGGTTAAAATGAACCGATGACGTTTTTAACAACACAATACGTTTGTACCTATATTCGGAATTTTAATTCGATTCCAGATTTGACAATTTCAGTGTTGCAACGTTATGACAAGTAGTAAATAGTGATGTGCGAAATTATTCGATATGGAAATGCAATATTTCTGGATCTGGATTCTTCTCGTTTATAATTTTATTCTCGTAAACTAAGTATATCAGGAAATTAAATATTTCTGAACCGATAATTTAGTTTTGACGATTAATTAACGATCTGAGAATTTTCTTTTATAATTGTGTGTGAAATAAATAAAAAAATGTAATCATGAAGGAACATGACAAATAAAACAGATAGATGTATAATGGTAATAAGTTATTTTATAAATTGTCGCCGTCATCGCTATCGCTATCCTGTCACTTTCTGTAACTTTTATTATAAAACACACACACTGATTGTTTGTCGATTTTTGTGTGCATCGCTACACTATTATATGTGGTATCATTATTTCACGAAATGACAGTAGCTATTGTCAAATCTGGAATCTAATTAAAATTCTGACTACATTATTAATTGTGTTGTTGATGAAGGTACCAATAGCTTTCTAGGCATGTATGTATTCTAGTTCAAGGCCTAACTTTAACAGATTTTACAGTATGAATTAAAAGTTCAATGATGACAGCAAAACTAAAGGTCATTAAATTTTATCAAGTAAAAAAGACGAAAAATGATTCTATACAATATTACAGTACAATTCTGTAATGTTGGCACAGTTTATATAAATCCTTCAAAAACTATGCAGTTCTCTATCAAAAATGTATTATTTTGCAACTGAACTGAAACTGTATAATAGATCTATACTAGTCACAGTACCTGATCTCCCTCCAAGGTGACACAGTCGAGATGGAACTGTTTCCCTAACTCAGTGGCACACTCCAAGTTCCTGCAGATGAGCGTCTTCCCGAATATATACTTCATCGCCTTCGCGTACTTAGGGTCGTACTTCAACTTCTGCACCATGGCTATGGCGTTCTAGAATAAATAGGAATCAATTATAGCTTTAAAATTTGATCAAGATGTTTTGATAACTCAGCCAACAGACAATATTTCAAACTTTCAAAGTAATATATCTGTCAAATGAAACCAAGATCTAATTTGGACAGCATAAGGTTTAGTTTTGCTTAACAAACTTGCAAGTATTTCTGAAGCTTATCCAGTTGCTGTAGTTAACACTAAGTTATTGCCTGTTGAAGTAATGTGTGACTCAAGTTTAGCTTATAACCACAAACTCTTGTACAAGTTACAAGTATTAGAATACCTCAATCAAACTTAATTTAGGACATAGAAGAAATGAATTAACCCATAAATCCCCAAGTGGTCACCGGTGACCACTTTCCACTAATATTACATTACATTATAGACCTTATTTCTAATGTTTAGAGAATACTTTTGTATGACCAAATTTAGGGGATGGATATCAACGGGTTAAGAAACTTACATTATCATTAGGATAGACCATATCCCGGACTTGCAGTCTGTTGAGTGGCATGAAGGTGACCTCTCCAGGCAAGCTCTGTCGGTTCATCTCCTTCAGGATCTTTGTGCCCACCGTGTCGGATTCTACGATGTGGTGGAACAATCTGTTACCCGCTGTCACCTAAATAAGTAATGGCATTAAAAATTAAAGTATATTTTTTGTAAGTTGGTTGTGCATTATTATGAGCCCCTGGCGTGGCTTGAAACTTGTCGAGCTACCTACTCAAACATTTACTTTTTTAGTCTTAAAACACAATTAACCATTACATTGTTATATTATTGATCAATCGGTCGCTTAGGGTAGTTTAACTCGTCGAGTACCGGTTTTGTAGACACAATTATAGAACAATAGGTTGCGGTCTCCGGTGACCGCTTGGTATTTGACAGTTTAAATATCACCTTTAATTGTGCAGATGTGATAAAACTAATTTACGAATTTTATCTAGTACAGGATTATATCATTATGCAATTTAAACTGCAAAAATTAGATTTTAAAAACAAGAAAAAACACGAAATAAGCGGTACAATATAAGGCACAAATGCCAACTTATTCTTTAGCAATTATACAATCTTCTTTTAAAACAACTCCTTACCTCAACGGCAGTATAAATAGTTTTATCACAAGTGAAGTTCTCAATGACGGGTCCGTAGTACTGTGTGGCTATCTTGGCCCACTCCCCCCCTCGCTCCTGGAATGTCTCCAGGACTTTGCGCACACTGTCTCTACCATTCAGGATAGGCTGCAAGGAAATATTAGTGTTAAAATTATAGGAATAAGGTATATTATTGAAGTAGAACAAGTTTAGTATTCTAGAATCTGAATCTACGTTA